ATGCTAATAAGCAACTAGTTAATAGTGAGAATTGGACCCTATACTTGATAGTCTTACTAATAAGTTTATTAGTAAACATTAACAAACACTTTATCTCAAATTTCTAGCTATTTGAATATATATTAACTAATGATCAGTTCAGCATTATATAACGTTTGCTAATGATTTATTAATGAAAGTTAAAGGGGTCATATGATGCGATTTCAGTTTTTCCTTTCTCTTTGGAGTGTTACAAGCCCTTGGTGCATAAAGAAGATCTGTAAAGTTGCAAAGACTAAAGTCTCAAATCCAAAGATATATTCTTTATAAAAGTTAAGAGTCAGCCACACCTACCTAAAACGTCTCGTTCTAACACGCCCCCACATATCTACATCACTATCTGGGAAGATTTGCATAACACTGCCCAAATGTTCACGCAAAGAAAGAAGGCGTGACTTTTATTCTCGCTGTAGTATTGTTGCCACCACCGCCATGTCGTGAAGGCACTGTGTGCTTCGTTGTGAAAGCGAAACTACTTTATTTGGCCTTCCAAAAGAGGACGATATCGCTTCGTCATGCCTAGAGCTGATCCGTGCTGGTCGCTGAGGAAATATTTCAACTCCGCGCTGTGGATAACCGGATCTGCTTTCACCAAAGACGAAACGGAGTCCAGCCCGGGGACGTCACATGTGGTTGCCACAGGCATCACAATATGGTAAGGGATGTAACATTTCCGTCACACGCTTGAGGAATTCGGCCAATCACAACGCACTGGATAGCAGGCCAATCAGAGTGCACCTCGCTTTTTCAGACCGATGAATCAACGTGTTTCAGAAAGGCGGGGCATAGAGGAGAAACAATAATGTACAGTATGTGGAAAATAATGTGTTTTTGAAACTTAAACCGCATAAACACATTTCATTACACCAAATACACAAAATAATGTTATTTTTAGCAGCATCATATGACCCCTTTAATATAAAGTGTTAACGGACAACATATATTTGTACATCTCTCACTATATCATATATGGGCGATAAAAGCATGATGTATGAACTAAATTAGTGCATCAATTAAAAAAATGACTAAATAATTTAATTTACTCAATCAACTTCAAAATGACAAGCATTCATTATGTTAAGGCATTAAAGGGTTAGTTCACCCAAAAATGAAATTCTGTCATTAATTACTTACCCTCATGTTGTTTCAAACCCGTAAGCCGTTCGTTCATCTTCGGAACACAATTTAAGATATTTTTGATTAAATCCGAGGGCTCTCTGACCCTCCCATAGACAGCAAGGTAACTACCACGTTCAAGGTCCAGAAAAGTACCAAGATGATCGACAAAGTAGTCTGTATGACATCAGTGGCTCAACTCGCATGACGCCAGCGTGTGGCGGCGCCGCCGCTGACCCAGATCCAGCGTGATGACGTCATTACGCCAGATCTGGGTCAGCGCCGTCACACGCTCGCGACATGGTACTATCGTGAACACGCATCCAAAGTGACGCAGTAGAGACGAAAATGTGGAATAAATTCGTTATTTTTGTTTTCTTTGCGCAAAAAAGTATTCTCGTAGCTTCATAACTTTACAGTTGAACCACTGATGTCACACGGACTACTTTGTCGATCATCTTGGTACTTTTCTGGACCCTGAACGTGGTAGTTACCTTGATATCTATGGGAGGGTCAGAGAGCCCTCAGATTTCATCAAAAATATCTTAAATTGTGTTCCGAAGATGAACGAAGGTCTT